GTGAACGCGGCGAAGGGGGACTCCCGGAAGAGGGCCCTGTTCGAGAAGTACGACAAGGACTTTTCTCAGCGAGCGAAGAACGGTATAAAATAAACTTTCCGCCGTCGGAGACACTTGCCCCTGGGCGGCTGGAAAGTTTATACCCCTAAGCAGCCACCGTATGGGTATAAAGTTTCCAGCCGCTCTGGGACAGGCGCCCCCGACAGCGAACAAGTTTATTTTACACCGTTCTTCGCCCGTTAAATTTCTCAGGAGGGAACAAGACACACATACACAATTAATCGCCGATTCCTAAGGAAATATGGGAAACTATGGGAAGTGGGGGGGGGAAGACAAAAACCAGAAAATATCGGAAACTATGGGGAATCCAGTTATTTGTGTGTATTTATGTGTGTGTCCCAAGGCCCTTTCATTTTCTCCCCGTCAAGGGCCTCATTTCCGTGCTCCCGCTCGTGCCGAATCGTGTTTCCGCCGCGGCGTTGGCCTCATGTCCGCGCTTCCGCTCCTCCCGAATCGTGCTCCCGCTGCAGCGTTGGCGTCATTATTTCCAGTGCCATGCCACGGCATGGCTTTCGGTCCTTCCAAACAGGCCCCAAAATCTAAAAATGGGCCTCCCGAAAACACCATCGGAAGTGATTCAACATTCGGTGTCGATTCGCTGATGTTTTGGACTGCAGAAGCCCCCCCCCCCACTTTGGGGTGTCGCCACGCCATGCTATGTCATGCTACGCATAGATCTCATGCTATGCCATGTGATGCGATGCCATGTTACGACATCCGATTGTATTAGAGAGGGGATACACACCATGGTAAGGGATGGGAGGGAGAGCTAGGACGTCAGATATGACGCGAGCGCACCTACTTGCCATCTCCCCCTTCTCGCTCCCCCTCTCCCAGCCTCGAACTTCATGTTTGACCCCGTGGAAGGGGGGACGCCCAGTCATCTCGCACGTCTTGCCCCCCTGGCAGGCTGCATTCCGATTCCTCCGATTCGATTCGATTCGATTTCGATGGCTTCCGATGCCGATTCGATTCGACTTCGGATTCCGATTTGGGATCCGATTCCTCAATGGAGGCCTACTAGCCTGCCGATTTCCGCCGATTCGGCTTCTCCTGGCTCGGCTGCCGATTTCTGCCGATCCGATTCATTTCGATCGCCGATCCGACTTACCGATTCGATTATGGACTCTACCGCATCTATCTCACATCTTGTCCCCCTGGTATGGGGTGTCGGCGATTACATGACACGGCCCTGTCGAGCCACCAGACTTGACGTCAGGGTGGTCCAGGTATGTCGCCTGAGACTGAGTTACCATGCAGGACAGGGAAGCATGTCATGTCCCGTATGTCACAGATGGAGGGCGGGCCGCTTTCTACATGGACTTCCTGCTTGGTCGCCGCGAACACTTGTTAGGAAAGTTCCTAATAGATGCGAGGAGAAGGAGGATGTGAGCGAGGAGGACCAGATGAGGAGAAGGAGGAGAAGGAGGGGGACGTGGAGAAGGAGGACGAGCGAGACGAGGAAGAGGAGGAGGAGGGCAAGGAGGACGCGGAGGAGGAGGAGGAACATTGGCAGGGTTCGACGAATTCTCAGGCCACCAGGAACCAGGAGGAGGCTAGAAGAATTCCCCTCATCCTCTGGGAGAAGGAGGAAGAGCGGGAGGAGGAAGAGGAGAAGGAGGAGGAGGAGGACGACGACGTCGACACCGAACACCTTAGCCCCTTGCAGATGGTGTCGCGCGCGCCCCGAGGACAGGGATGGTTTCCTCAGCCGATCCGAGATGGCCGCGTACGCGAAGTCCGAGTTCGGCTTCGAGCTGCCGGAGTGCAACCTGGAGCGCATCTGCAGGCGGGCGCGAGTGCCGCCAAAGCTTGTTCGACGACCCTTTCTCTCAAGACCACCAGGCGGTAGGCTTCCACAGTCTGCTCTCGCCTCGTTTGGCGATGACCAAGAAGGGTTTTGCTCAGTTCTTGTCCTCCTCCTCCTCTCTTCCTCCTCTCCTCCTTCTCATCGCCCTCCCCTCAGTATCCAAATTCGGAGCAGAATTTCGGCCAACGTGGTGTACAGCTGTAGGTTCCGTGATGGTGTCCGCTTCCATCTCCCATTCTATGGTCTGCATGTGTTAACCATGTGTTCTCGCCTATCGATGCGGCACTGCTCAGGGTCTACGCTTTGGGTCCACACCACCACGCAGCTGAACGCCCCAGCAGGCGAGATCACCGCTGTCGTGACCGATGGTTGTGCAACTGTGGTATATCTTGCTTTGCGCGACCGTGAGCCTGGGCGCGCGTTGGAGAGCTTCACGGGGCGTTTAGGAGGCTCGTTCCGAGGCTTACCCTGGGGCCTCTCGTTCCGAGGCTCGTTCCGAGGCATCCTCCTCCCTCCTCCTCCTTCTTCTCGTCCTACTCCTCCCTCCTCCCTGCGCGTCCCTCCTTCCTATTCGCCCTCCTCACTCCTCCTGCTCCTCCTCCTCCTCCTCCTCCTCCTCCTCAGACTCCCTCCTCCTCGTCGCGCTCACAGATAGCTGCTGGGCCGCCTTCGCTTGGATCCTAGACGCGCCCCGCGGGTGCAGCAGTTGCAGCTGCAGCAGGGCCTCAGAGGCGGACAGAGATGCCTCATCAGCGGTCGGGCTCCTCCTGCCCCCCCCCAGGGCAAGAGCTAGGCGGTGTCTTGGCGATTTCGTGGACCGTCTTCGTTTTGGTGTCGCTTTCCATCTTGAGGCCATCTTGGGCGTCTTCGGCCTACAGCGAGCGGCTTGAATAAGGAACGCTTACTTTTCAAAAGGGGCTCGGTCGTTCCTTAGGCTTGCATGCGTTATTGACAGTTCCTTATGCGTTATTTGTTGTTGATAGTTCCTTATGCGTTATTCCTTGGGGTAAAAAAGGGGGCTTCGTTCCTTATGCACCGCTCCTTAGGTCAGGCCGATGACTGTATCGTTCGGCGATTCGGGGCCCTCGGTGCCTCTTGGAGCCCTCCTTGCCCATTTGGGGGCCGCTCTGGGCCAGAAACATTGCGCGGCAAGATGTTCTGGGCCCCGGGGGCACGCAGGAAGCCCCCGGAGATGTTGATGTTATCCCAGTGCGACCCTACCCAGGAGTTGGAGGATCTAGGAAAGCAACATCCATGTGAAGCTAAGTTGAGCTTAGATGAGGCTGAGCTAAGATGAAATAGGCTAAACTAAGATAAGACAAGCAACGCTAAGCTAAGGGAGCGTCACTGGGGGAACCGCGGTGCGGATACTGGGGGAACCGCCCAGGGCGAGTTGCACTGCCCGGCCCTTTAAGCATACCGAGTAAGAACCCTTCTAGGCAGAGCCTAGGTAGGGAATTTGGGGTCGGGGCCCCTGAAAGACCCCTTAAGAGTGATGGCCGAGGCTTACAGGATAGGCTCAGGACCAGAGCAACTCCGTGCCCAGAAGCACGGTGGCGGATCATTGGAGATCTGTGGTCCAGGGCAGGAAGTCGTACAAGCACTACTGCTGTCTGCGAGAAAACGCCTGATTCCGAAGTCTGGGCACCTGTGGCAAGTCTGCCAAGACCAGAGCTTCACAGAGTACCAACGCCAGTTGGGAGAGACAGGACGCCTGAGATGGACTTGTCCGACTCGCCAGATCTATTCCTCGCAGAGTTGCAGGAAGACATCGGCCGGACGCGCCGGTTCCAGATGCCACGGCCTCGCCAACTGGCTCTTAGGTAATGAGGCCCAGACATCGTCCGCTCGGCCAGTACGGTTGCAAGTACAAAATAGTAAGTGTACAGATGTTGATATGGAAATTGTGCAGTATAAATATGTATATCGGCGTAATCCGGGAGGGCCCAGAACCTCGACCCGGACCCCCCCAGCGGCCCCCAAGTTGGCCCAAGAGGCTCCCGAAGCGCCCCAGATTGCCTGGAAGATGGCTGAAGAGCGCACTGCGATGGCCTCACGACTGCCCACGAGCGCTCCAAGACAGCCCAAGACTGCTAGACGGCCACAAAGACCCTCAAGACGGTCCAAGAGGCCGCCGAGAGGGCCCCCCAAGGGCGAAGTGAAACGTTTTCTATGGAAGAATGTATATTTTCAGGACATTCGCTTTTTCAATCCCAACAGCGGCCACGACGACCCCAAAGGCCCCAAACATCGCCCCCAGATGTCTCAAGAGGCCCCCAAGAGGGCCCCAAGACGGCCCGAAGAGAGCTTCAAGCAGCGAGCTCCAAGACGGCCCAAGATAGTCCCCAGGGAGCCCCGAGGGTGCCACCGGAGGATCCCTACATGGAGGGCCCCAAGACGGCCTCAGCCCCCCATGACGGGCCCGGGACGGCCTAAAAGGCCCCCAGACGGGCCAAAAAACGCTCCAAAGAATTCCCAAGAAAGGCCCGGAGAGGTCCCAGAGATTCGCTCCCGGGAGGCGTCCCAGTAGGCCCCCATTAGCGTATGGGAAGTCTCGCCTGTAAGATCCATGTCAGGGCTTCCCAGACGGGCCAAAAATATCCAAGAGGACTCCCCAGGAAGGCCCAGAGAGGTTCCAAAGACTCCCACACTGCTTCCAAAAGGCTTCTGGAGCCCCCATGAGCGTATGAGAGGCCTCGTGTCTACGTCCTGCAAGATTATTTCAGGGCTTCACCCCGAACCCACGGTCGAGGTCAGGAGTGTACCGCCATGGGGGGGAAGGGTGAGGGAGGATACGGCACTGCATTGGCGACGCCGCGCAAGTTACCAAGCGCCAGGCGTGCACAGGAGAAGGATGAGACGCAAGCGAAACATCAAGGGCCTGTAAGGCCGCCATCCCCCACCGAGGTTCACGGGGCTGGCGCTGGCCCAAAAGGAAGGATGAGGAGGAGGGGGGCATAGAAATTAGTAGGCCCATGGGGAGCACACCAGGATGGTGCTCCACTCTCGTGGCCCCGCCCCTCACTCCTCAAAGAAAGATTCACGACACACTACTGCCTCTGGAAGTCGGAGCCTGACCCAATGCACTTCAGGATCCGTGGGCAGGAGGGGCCGCGGCGCTGGGAATCCGTCTAGAATCCACACGCCCTTCGTCCGCTGGATGAAAGCCCGCGAGAAACTGTTTCCTGTTACGCTTGGCCCTCTCTGAGGCCGAGTAGCCAGGCTGACAAGAATACAATCCGTTAACAGATGCCCCGCTGTGCCCGTCGTGAAAACCCACAGGAAATGCACAGAACGACCTGGGAGGGCGCCACCCAGAGCCGATGGCCTCTGGCGGCGTCAGCGGGAATGGGTCCTTGGCTGGGCACAGCACAAAGGGGAGGAGGAGGAGGGGGGGACGAGGAGGAGGACGAGGAGGAGGGGGAGGAGGAGGGGGGCAGGAGGAGGTGGAGGTGGAGGGAGGGGAGGAGGGAAGAACGTCGCATTCTATTATCAGAACTTCCCTGGCGTGGCGTTTAGCTGTCCGCATCAGGTCCTCACATACATGCTCCTTCTACCTGTCCTGTGCACGCAGGCACCGTGGTGTACACCAGCGCTGCGTTGCGTGCGGATGCTGTGGTGCAGACAGGCGCCGTGGTGTGCGCAGGCGCTGCGGTGCCCGCAAGTATTGTGGTGTACACAGACGTTGTGTTGCACATGGTTGCTGCGGTGTGCACATTCGCAGTGGTGTACACTGGCGCTGTGATGCACGCAAGCACTGTGGTGTACACAGGCGCTGCGTTGCGCACGGCTGTTGCGGTGTATGCAGGCGCTGTGGTATACACTCGCGCTGTGGTGCAAGCGAGCATTGTGAAGTACGCATGCGCTGTGGGGCAGATCGCCACCTACATGCTGTTCGCCTCGTCGTCGTCGTCGTCGTCATCGCTCGTCGCTCGTCGTTCGTCGGTCGTCGCTCATCGTCTACATGACAAGCTCTTCGTTTCACCAGGCCGCTGTAGGCTTGGGCCCTGTCGTGCAAGCCCTCGCCAGAAGCCAGCAAGGAGGGACAGTGGCTTGCTGGCCTACAGCGTCCCTCCTCTGGCTCCACCTGGCATTACGTCGGGCACGTCCCTCTACAGGAGGAATATTCAAGCATAGTAACAAAAATAGTCAGGGGACGATGTTTCGACGATGTTTTGATGATTATGGCGTACTGTGTTGTCCTCGAAGCACTGCCTGTCGGGGGACATGCCCGACCTAAACCTAGCATGGTGGCGCAGTCCCCAATGGTTGTCGCCGGACTCGTCGCCGTGTCGCGCCCCAGCTCCCAACGCGCAGTGTCCGGCCGCCACGGCGGCACCAGAGAGTCGTGCACCGCACCGCGCTGGAGCGGGGCCGGAGAGAAGCCCCAGACATGATGCGGTCTTGGCATCGATCGGACGTGTGCATGTTTCTTTCGGCGAGGACCATCGAGGCGCATCCTTGATCATTCGGCGAAAGAACCACGCACGAAGCCGAAAAAAGCACAAGGAATGGACGTCCGAGCGATGGCCAGCGGTAGGTTCATGCGGCGATGGCGCGCCGGCGACGCAGGCGAAGGCGTTCAAGGCTGAATTCCACACGATAGAACCGCGCGGAAGCGCTACGGGGCACAGCAGCACCACAGGACCCGACGGACTGCAACCTGGAACGATTGGGGCCGCGATCGGTTCAACCTTGAACGATCGACTCAGTGACAAGAACCGTGGCGCGCGCCGACGCTGCCCGAACCTACCGCACTCTGGATGGGGCAACAATCGCCCTCCCCTTGGATCCGCTGGGGGGTGGTTAGGCACGTGCTGTCCGAACGGGTGGCGCGGGGGGGGGAGGAGGAGGAGGAGGAGGAGGGGTGGGGGAGGAGGAGGAGGAGGAGGAGGAGGAGGAGGAGGAGGAGGAGGAGGAGGAGGAGGAGGAGGAGGAGGAGGAGGAGGAGGAGGGGGTAGGAAAGGAAAGGGAGGAGGAGGAGGAGGAGGAGGAAGAGGAGGAGGGGTAGGAAAGGGAGGAGGAGGAGGAGGAGGAGGTAGGAGGAGGAGGAGGAGAAGAGGAGGAGGAGGAGGAGGAGGAGGAGGAGCCGGAGGAGCTGGAGGAGGGGGGGGTGTATGGGCAAGCTCCGTCGGAAGGTTCGTCGCCCAGCCCTCGATGAATGTCCCGCCCAGAGCACGGCGCATCGGCGCCGCTCTCGTGCTGTCCCCCCTCGAGAGTGGCATCGTGTGCGTCCTCCGCTACCCTCCCCTCGCGGCCTCTCCTGCGCGGGCGGGCCGCGCCCCCGCGGCGCGGCGCGCGCGAGGCAGCTGGTGCAGAGTGGCGGCAGAGGTGCGTGCGCCTCCCAACACCGCAGCGCACAGTCCACAGGGAGCAGCAGCAGCAGCAGGAGCAGGGGGATGAGGAGGAGGAGGAGGAGGAGGAGGAGGAGGCGGAGGAGGAGGAGGAGGAGGAGGAGGAGGAGGAGGAGGAGGAGGAGGAGGAGGAGGAGGAGGAGGAGGGGAAGGGGGAGGAGGGAGGAGGAGGGGAGGGGAGGAGGAGGAGGAGGAGGAGGAGGAGGAGGAGGAGGAGGAGGAGGAGGAGGAGGAGGAGGAGGAGGAGGAGGAGGAGGAGGAGTGGGAGGGGGAGGAGGGGAAGGGGGGAGGGGGAGGGGGAGGGGGGGAGGGGGAGGGGGAGGAGGAGGAGGAGGAGGAGGAGGAGAGAGGAGGAGGAGGAGGAGGAGGAGGAGGAGGAGGTCCTTGCCTTGCCATCGACATGAGTTTGCCTGGACCAGACTTACCTTGGGAATGGCACGCAGTCAGAGTTGAGCCGCAGATCCAAGAAGGCATGAACAAACTTCAGGCGAATATCCACTCCATGGGTGAAAGGCACTGCAGTGGCAAGCCTAACTACGATTTGGCCCAGCAGTACATGGAATTCGCTTTGGCAGCAGAAAGCTTTTGCACGCACAGGAATCCCGATCTGGACTTCAACGACAGCGAGCAGCACCGAGGCTGGGCAGTGGAAGTTGTGGAAGTTCCTGTGGTTCCTACTACGGCGATGGGGTGGCAAGCGGAATATAGTGGCCTGAGTGCTTGGGCAGCGCTCTACGCGCGAGCAGCAGACTGGCTACACTTGCGGGAGAAGCTGAAGCACCCAGAGGAGATCGAGAAGGCCTGGCAGGCAGTAGAGTCCTGTTTAGCCAAAGTCTGGTCTCTTACCAGATTTTTGTCCAATGAGAGAGAAGAAAGAACGCTTCGCCTGACCGCACAGCTTGCCACTTTCAAGCAAATAGATCGATGCAAGAGAGAGCTCAAAAATCTTGGTCGCACGGTGAAAAATGTTGAGCTCAACCTTGTTAGATCCAAGCAGAAGAGTTTTAAAGACTGGGTTCGCACTTCTTTAAGCAAAGGCGCTGGCGCGCTCCATGCTTGGACAAAATCGTGGGGAGAGGAAATCCCCGACCTCGCCCCAGAGAAGCGCCCCGATGGTAGCACCATAAGGGACCCCATTGAGGCCATCGACCAGAAGGCTCAGTTTTGGGAGTCCCTGTGGTGCTCGGAGGCTTTTGAAGGTCCCGCTGGGTGGTGGGAGGACTTCGTTCGGGAGGCCAGTAGGGAGCCTCTGGATGAACTCACCATGCAGCAGCTTTTAGGAGCCCTGAAGTCTTTCAAAGGAGTCGTAGGAGTCGGGGCTGATCAGCAGAACCCGAACTGGTGGCGCCGTCTTCCGAAAGAAGGTCTGGAGGATCTTCTAGCACTTCTCCAATCAGTCGAGAGAGCAGGCACTTGGCCACCTCAGATCTTCCTCAACATAGTTCAACTAATCCACAAGAGTCAGGTGGCTGATCGACCGATCACCCTGACTCAGGGCTTGTATCGGACGTGGGGGAGGTCTCGGAGGTGGGAGATTGCTGATTGGAGCGCCCAGCGGACCCAGCACTGGGACAATGTGGTCAAGGGCAGCTCCTCTCTGCGAGCGGCCCTCATCCGTCAATGTAAACTAGAAATGGCCTCGTCCCAAGGTTTTGCCTGGGCTGAGGTCCTCTGGGACGTCGACAAGTTTTACGATCACGTTCGGCTTTTTCAGGTGGCCAATGTGGCCAAAGGGGTAGGCTATCCCCTCCCAGTGCTTGTGCTCGGCTTAGCCATCCACCGGGGACCGAGGAGGCTGCGTGCAGAAGGAGTGGTTTCAAAACTGATTTGTCCCGACCGCTCCCTGATTGCAGGATGCAATCAAAGTGTTGACCTTGCCAAGCTTTCACTGTGGCAGGTGCTCGAATCGATGCATGCAGACTATCGACCTCTGGATCTCTCCACGTGGGTGGACGACTTGGGACAAGTCGAAATTGGCCGAGAAGCCGACGTCATCACACGTACGAAGTCAATCTCAATTTCTTTAGCAACACGTCTTGGTAGGGCTGGTTTTAAGGTGTCTGACAAGTCGGCGATCCTCACCTACCCCCCTCGCCTCGCGAAGGAGATCTCGAGGGCTCTTGCTGACGCTGGAGTGCCCCTCAAGTGCCCAACGCACGTTCGGGACCTGGGGATTGACGGCCACACGGCTAGGCGTTCCACTGCGGTCATCAAAGATCGCCTTGCCAAGGGACAAAAGCGTGCTGTCCAGATCACCAAGCTAGTCAAATCTGTGCCCCAAGCTCGAGTCCTCGCTAAGACGGGGTACCGTCCAGCAGTGACGTATGGGCAGATGGCCCAAGGCCTCAGTCCGACAACTCTTTTAAAGCTTCGAACTTCGGTGGCAGCCCTCTCTGGTTACAAGAAGCCAGGAGGATGCCCAACCACTTGCATAAGACTAGGGTTTACTGAAGCTGATGATCCAATGATCCATGGGCGGATGCAGATTTTCGCTTCATGGCTGGAAATTTTGTCTCACATGCCTGAGAAGATGCGAGCCATCGAGATCGTCTGGCGCAAAACAGTTGCTCACTTGCAGGAAGGTGTCAGACCCTGGGCTCGTGTCAAAGGCCTTATTAGCGCTGTCGTGGCCAGTCTGCTTGACCTCCACTGGGAACCCTTAGGACCTGTTGCCTGGAGGACGCCCAGAGGTGAAGTCCTGAACATACTTGAGCTCGACAGGGATCATCTTCTCAATTTCGAAATTAAGCAGGCACTAGACCATGAGTGTTGGATTCGTGCCGCTGATTCGCATGTTTACGGTAGAGGGGCGCAGGATGGAGTAGACCTTACCATTTTGAAGAGACACCTCAACAAGCTAGCAAGAAAGAAAGCGTACGACAGAGCGGAGGTGCTCCGCATGATTGCAACAGGAGCCTTGTGGCCAGCAGCTAGGAGATTCGGTAGTGAAAGCCGCGGGGGCATTAAGATTGATCCTCCTGCTGTGCTGCCTGCTGCTGCGGCCACCGAGCCTGCTGCTGCGAGTGCTTCCTCTCCCTCCAATGTCCCTCCTCAGCCCCCGCAGGCCGCTACCTCTTTGGACGACCCCGAAGGGGACCTCTTGGAGGAGGAGGAGTTCCCGTCGGATGGGGGGGAGGAGGAACCACCTGAAGAGTCGGCCGAACAGGCCACGAGTCAAGAGCCAGCGAGTGTCGCGGCTTGGAATTCTTCGCTGTGCCCCCGATGCCACGAGTGCGAGGAAGCGCTTTTTTCACCAGATCTGGGATTGCAAGTGCAATTCTGAGCTCCCACAAGAGGAGCTACACTGGGAACACTTGTCTCAGGCGCGCCAGGAGTGGAAAGAAGAGCCATGCTTCTGGCTTAGGGGCCTCGCGCCCTTAGCCTGGACTTTCAACATTAGGCATTTGGAGATCCAAGGGGTAGAAACCCTTTCCCCTGAGCTTCAAGGCGAGAAGTTTGTTTTTCCCCCAGGAGCCTACCTTGGAGGAGATGGGTCTGGTGGCCTGTTCTCTGCGGATCCTAGGATCAGGCGATGTGGCTGGGGAGGAGCTATTTTCTGCAACGGAGAACTCCTGGCCTGGGCCAAAGGGCCCCTTCCCACGTTCAAGCAAACTGTGCCCCTTGCAGAGTTATGGGCCTGCTACAGGATGGCCCAACTAACTGCAGGTGATTTAGTCTTTATAGGAGACAATGATTCGGTGGTGAGCGGGATTAACTCGGGCCCCCGTTTCCGCCACACGGAAAATGCTACCTTTTGGGACCTGCTCTGGCAGGAATGCGAGGGTAGGCGAGTGCTGGCGATTAAAATCAAGTCGCATGAGTCGGCCTCAGATGCAGTCCTGGTCAGGAGGAGCAGGCTTGAGCATTGGATTGCCAACTTTGTTGCAGACAAGCTGGCGGATCAAGCCGCCAAGGAGGCTCAATTGCCCCGCTGGGCGACCGATGAAGTAGAACGCATCGACAAGCTCAGCAGAGAGGTCCAGGAGCATATCCTAACTATTTCGCATTTCATTGCTGTGAACTCTTCTCAGATCTACGGAGCCAGTAATGCCGAAGATCGCAAGCGAGAGAGTAAGAGGCGTAGGAAGGCCAAGCAGTCGGAGATTGCGGCCCTCACAGCGTCCACTTCTCATTGCCTCGTCGAGAGTCCTGGCAAGCCGTTGAAGTGCTCCAAATGCCTCACGTCCCCGACGGGGACTGCGGAGAGTTGGCTCCGCATGGCGTGCCCTGGACTTCCTGCGAAGATTCACTTCTCCCACCGCCATCTCCAGAGGTTTCGTGGAGTCTTCTGGTGCAGGGATTGTGGGAGCTATTCCGCCACAAATTTCAACAAGCTTTCCAAAGAGTGCTCGGGGATTGTCTCGAAGCACGGAGGGAAGATTTTGCGTGCTCTTGAGGCGGGAAAGCTCCCGAGGGACATCACGGCCTGGCCCGAGCCTGAACCCTCTTTGGAGCTCCCGCCCCCAATCGCTTTTTTCTGAAGGGAGGGGGTCCTGTCGCGGCTCACTGACTGGGTGGATCGCAGCCCAGTCGGTGAGTGACAAATTCGGATGGGCCCCCCCCCCGAACTTTTATAACTAGGGGCTCCGCCATGTGGACTCCGCTCCTCAGGTAGGTAAGAGGTAAGAGGAGGAGGAGGAGGAGAGAGGAGGAGGAGGAGAGTGGGAGGGGGGGGGGGGAGGGGGAGGGGGAGGGGGGGGAGGGGGAGGGGGGGGGAGGGGGAGGAGGAGGAGGAGGAGGAGGAGGAGGAGGAGGAGGCGGAGGAGGAGGAGGAGGAGGAGGAAGAGCAGGGAGGAATCGGAATCGGAATCGAGCTCTTGGGGCAGTTCAATCAGCTCGTCTTTGTGAGAAGCCTGGGCCATTCCTGGCGACTCTCGCCAGTTTATAACTCGAAGCTGCTTGCCTATACGCCCTGGGGACCTGCCAAGGTACTTCCGTGGTCGCCGTGCAAGCAGGAACACTGCACGGGCGGTCTGGAG